AATAAAGTTGAAAATGTTAAATACCACAGATGGACGTTAATGAATGGTAGGCTTCTAGCAGCTGTTTTGCGCTTTTCAAAATCTTCTTTTTAATTGCTTATACATGTTAGTTGAGAATTTAGGAATATAGGAATCAAGCATTCTACATTTGTATTCCAAAAATGCAGAATGGGACAAAACTGTTAATGAAAGTTCCAATTGCTTTGATCAAAACCTTTAAATACAAAATATTATAAAATAAAAAAAGCCTTGATTCTTACAGGTATAAAATAGACTATAATATACCAGTTATATGTGATTGTTCTTTTAATATACTTGAGCATTTTTAAGAATTGTAAATGAAATTACCTAGAAATTAAATTTTGTCTTTACCTAACTAGCCTAAATAAAAATCAATTAAGAAAGTATTTTAGCCTAATGTGCCTCAGTCTTTTATCTTCTTCTAGACTTATATGTTTGCCTATGACAAGAACATCCTAAATTTTTTTTTATAATATTGTCAATAATGCCGAAAATTATTGTTTTCTTTTTTTTTTTTTCCTTGCAATTTGTAATAGTATTCAGTCTGACTATGATTTAACATCTAAAAAACTGTCTGACTAAAGTCATGGTTTCATGAGACCACACCAGTGTGCAATGACCACATCAAAATCATAGCTTCGCTATGTAAAAAGTACATAAAAATGTGGCCTAGAAAGCCCCTGATTAACTAATCAATATTGAATGATTGATGAAAAAGCTGTCAAAATTTAATTTATTACAAAATAATAAATAGTAAGATTAAGCTTTTCTGTGAAGTGTTCCATCCTAAAAGTTTTCAGATCTGATCTAAGCCACTTCAAATAGCTGTGGTAAGTTAATACAGATAGAAACAAACAAACAAACAAACAAAAAATCATATAGAAAAGTATTAATTACAACAAATTAAATAAAGAGCTACTCTCAACCAAAACAAAGAACAGGTACTTTCTCTGACATTTAATTTTCAGGAAAACGATTGTGAGAAAATGAAGCTTCAGGCACCCCTTTTTCCAGCTCCTAATAATGTGAATTATCTCCCAGGTCATACTACAGAGGAGTGGGCATGCAGTTCAAGGTCCTCCCTCCTTCTTCATAAATGCATATGCATTTGTTTTTTAGCATGGTCTTTAACCACTAAACTACCACAGCTATAGTACATATTATGCACATAAACTGGGAATTAAGATTTCTACTTGCAATTGTAATTAAGAATGTTTTTGTTGCTTTTAATTATTATGGTATGGAATTGCACTGTGAGCAATCCCAGGACTTTTTTTGGTTTTATTTTTAAAAAAGAAAAACAGTACATTTGAATATTCTGAATACTGATCTTTTGCTACCAAAAAAACCCCACCAAAACCAATAAAACAAACAAATCACAGGCAGTTCATTACAATATCTGAGTTTGTTAGATATATCTTTCAGATGGAGATATTTTGAAGCTGGGATTCAAATATTTCCAAGGATTAAACAACAGACTATAAAGAAACAGCAGTACTTTTAAGTGATCAATAAATTATTGCTTCTGGTAAGAACAAGGTTTTTACACTCAGTCATAAATGTGGTTTCCTACTACAAGGCTTTTTGTTATTCTGTAAACAATTACCGTTTGCTACCAAAAATTTAAAATTAACTATAGTTGGTGAAGCTAAGAGAAACCATTAATCATGATCTCTGTCATAGTAATATTGCATCTGCATATGTTAATTACATCCTGTTCTTAACATCCACCATGAAATGCCAAATAGCTTAGCATATTAGCCTGGATAATTTTTGCATGTGTTCATAAAAGAATGAAGCCAATGATTTGGTTCAATTCCCACACTTATTAGAGAGGCTCAAGGTCATTTTGAATAATGATTTCAACCAAATGGAAGTCATGCCTAATGCACATAGGACTAGGTCATAAAAAATTCTTTGGTGCATAAAGGTACAATTGCAAAAACATCAGCTTCATGCACTGAATAGATTTTGGAAAACTAGTCCTCTATGACCCCAAAAGCTTCTACTCAGCTTTTATATAACTTCAAAATCATCAGTTATTGGCTTTTAGGGTCTGTAGACAGTCATATTTTCTAATTTTGCACATTCTCAGGAAAGCAAGTTTTGACAGACTGTGCAATTCATCAGCCAGTTCATGCTGATGCCTGACTAGACCCAGAACATCAGTGTTCCTCAACAAAGATTTCCTATAGGCTTTGATGTACTAGACATTTTCAGAGAATGCTGAAAGCCATCCAAAATGGTTGCCCTTCCAATATAACAGAGTCATGGCCTTCATTTTCTTTTTAATTCTGAATTTAGAATGCATTTTTGCCCACATTTTATCTAAAAGGCTAGACTCTAGAAGAAATAAGACCCATACCTCCTTTCTCTACACAGGTAATTCAAACTCATCTACCGCCTCTAAGGAGTATGACTTAAGTTATGTCACATTATTCAGAATGGGTATAGAGATTATATTTTATCCTCTTCTACTGAGATTCCACTATTCAGTGAAAATATCCATATTAATTGCAACAAGAAGAGTTTCTACTTAATAGGGTCTGACTTTGGAACCCTTTATCAGTTTCACTCTCATGCTACCTCTGTTATTTATCTAATCACTTTATTTAATGGAAATGATCAAGTATTAGTGACATAAATTCTCATAGAAGAGAAAAAGCTTTTCTATGTTCTTTAAATCATACTCTTTACAAGACCAACTCTATACATTGTAAAGCATGTCCCTTGAGCCCAGAGAGCCATGTGGAGTGTTGAAAGCTCTCCCTTCCTCTCCTCTGACCTATTTAGCCCCAAACATGAGCAAAATGAGAATACTCAATTGCAATATTTCTCTTTACCATATTCTGAGATGCCTCACTCCCCCCTATAAAGCTGTATGGCTAATTATGGCTCATATGAATTTAACAGAAGAAACTGTATTCTAAATTGATATTAAAAATGTAAAAGTTTGATAGGCGACTTTTTAAAAAAAAATTTTTTACTTCATATCTAAAGCATCAGGTCAAAATATTAAAAGTGTAAAGGAGGCTTAGGTTCTCATTTTTTTTCTTCAAAATAAATAAGAAAATTAAAATACATATATATATACTGAGCTGTATTGTGTACCACATTTCATTGTAACACTTTCTGTTTCAATGGAGTTTCAAAAATACAACGGGCAGAATGGTGGCATTTCATTTCCCTACTAAGCAAAATTTTTACATAGGTGAGACTGGTGGTCAGGAAGCAAAATTCAGCTCTCAAATGGTTTCTGCCAGCTCCATGCAAGTGAAAGCCAATCAAACTATATCATCTCTCTCACAGCTATATAAACGTCCATTTTTTCTTGAGCTAAATCCCACAAAAGTAGAAAGCACTGATTACATAGTAAAAATATACTGTAATATATCCCAGCAACATATCTACAAACCATTATTGACTCTGAACTGGAGGAAAAAGCAGTATAAATATGTCTGCTCTGTGACATCATATCCTAAAGAAGTGTGGGGTTTGTCATCTTTGAAATAATGTCTTTTTCATCCACGAAAGAAATGATCCAGTTAGAATCAGTGATAGATATCCACTACCTAATTGTTTTGTCCTTTTATTAAAAAGGCAGTCCTTCCAAGAAAAACGCTCTCCCTTTTGTGAATGTTAAAATAGATACCACTGGAAGATTGCTAAGTAGATTCTAAGTGGCATGAATAGACATAATTATTGCATCACTGATAAAGAAATTCTTTATCTTTCATTACCCACGAAAGAGACTTTCCAGAAGAAAGAAACCTTTCTCCTCTAATAAACAAAAACCTTCCTCACTGACTCCTCTCTAGAAAACAACATTGATATCTTATTTAAAAATGAGGAAGAAACTTTTGACTTCCATTGCACATAGTCTAAAAGTTTGAACAATTTTCAGAAGTTTGATAGGGCAGATTTTCCAATTTGATGCCACTGAATTTTGGTGTTCAGTGCTACAATGGTTTTAGCGGATAATTAAAATACTAAAGCTCTTTGAATGGTTGTAATATTGATTATTCTTTATAGTCGACTTTTTTTTTTTTTTTTTTTTTTTGGGTACTCCAACATACACTTTGCAATAGAAATTTAAGTATGCAACAAAGAAAATCCGTATTCTATTTAAAATAAATAAACATATTCAAATTGGAAACAGATTTATCAGCTTTCTTGTCGTCAAATTATGAAAAGGAATTGAAACTAACATGATAATGAGGAGATTTTATTTTCACTTATAAAGTAAATGTTAATTTTATAATTTAGTATGTTTCTGTTTATTAATATCTGGATACATGGGAGAGGTTTTGTGCTTAATCTTACAGGATATGTGAAAAGAATATTCTTTTATTTCTGAAGTGGCTATCAATTGCTGGTAAGAATTAACACCAAATCAGTAAAATAAAAATTGAATCTTTGCTTAGAGTTTAAATCAGAAAATGCTTACATTTGAGATAGTCAGTGGTAATATAGCTAAAGTCAGGAGATTTCTGAAATGAGTGGAGTTCTTCATATCCATAAAAGTTTGAATAGTTGGATCTTTGGTGCATTTCCAGACTGATTTTTTCCAGAGACTACATGTCCAACAGGTTACCAGTAATAACAAGAAGAAATAAATACATATTGTGACATCTAGAGTATACTTAAAGCTCTATTCAAATACATATATATGGTATATATCTCTATACTGTGCTGTAAATTTGCTAATTCAAGAATGCAGGTTGGTATAGACGACGACACTATTATTAAATTCTACTTGCAATAATAACTTGTAGCACTGTTTATCCAATGTTATTAAAATCTAGAAACAATATTTAGCCTAAGCTATTGAATGTTATTTTTATTAAATATATCATTGAAAAGGGCTTTGTCCTACAACAGAAGTTTATTAAAATTGCTTCTTCTAATTTTGTACCTGTTTCTTCCATATGACAAAGCAAGAATAATAACAGCAGCAATAAATTAAAAACTGTTCTTACCATGACAACTAGGCAGTGCTCTGTTCCATCCAGGTCTTCCATCATCTCCCATGATACATGTTAATGTAGAATATCCTTGAAGAACATAACCTGCATCGCAGTAATATGTGACAGTTGACCCCAGTTTATAATCCATTCCAAGTCTTGTTCCATTCATTATATTTCCAGGATCAAAGCAAGACTCACGAAGCTTTGCTATACAGGAAACAAATGCAAACATAATTCTGAATATAATATAAAACATTACAAATATTTTCTGGAGTTCTCTGAAGGTCTTATTTGAGCACCATGTAGACATATATATATATATATTTTTTTTTTAAAGAGTCCTTCCATTCTACATCAAATGTTCTCTGTCCTTCATTTTAAAGACTGTACAAATTACTAAACCATGTCACCTATATTTTTTCTAGATAATTCCTATAGAGCTCCATTATGAGAAGTATTTTTCCAGAGCTCACTGTGGCCAGTGATATAGTTAGATTTATGGACACTGTTCCAGTAGATAAAAGACAATCTAATTTTAAAATTTGTGGTCTGAAAACTGGTAAGTGGAGGAAACGAATGTAAGTAGTTTTTTATAAAATTTTAAAGGAAAAAAGCAAACAAGACTTTTTTTCAAAATTAATAAACACCAAGTGACTATCTAGATGCATGCATATGATATATCAGTGTATTTTCATATAGCTTTTTTTTTCCTCACTGGAGGCCAAAGCATGAACATATTTCTTAAATTTATATCATTTTTTTTGTTATTTATAGCTACTTGTTTTAAAATACTGAAACTAATTTTAACATATGCATATGTTCTTTGCTTTGCTTTTCTTTTCCTTCTATAATGTGAATACTAATGTGTTTAATACCCAAGACATAACAAACTGCATAAAAATAACCATTCAAAATTTCTGATTAACAACATTACTATGCAGAAGGTGGGAAAATGTAAACATTTTTGAAATGGAAATTGCCATTAATTTTCCATTAAGGAAAAAAAAAGTAAACATATGGGGAAATTGTAGAAACTGGAATGAAGCAGATGATTTAATGGTCTACAGGATGGAGTTTGGAGTAATTTATTTTATCAAGTAGAAGACAGAAATTTCAGATTTTCCTCTTTACTATTTAAGGGTGTTGTGGAGAAGATTAATAGGGAATATACTTTCTGCAAGACCAGTGCCAACTTTGTAATACACTAAAGAAGGGGGTTTTTTACCAGACATATCTGCACCGTGGAACTTTCTGCTACAGGTAGGTACAGTTGCCAAAAGACTATATGAGCTTTGAAATTTCTGGAAGGATATTTAAGAGCTTTAAATACAAAGACACTTTATCTGATTCTGGCAGTACCTAAGCTGAAGTTTCTGAAAACTTAGAGATAATAGGGAAAAATTTTTATATATTTAATTTTTATATAGTTTAGCCACATATCAGCTATTGGTCACTACTAGAGACAAGTTAATGAACTAAGAAGATTGTTGGTTTGATCCCCAAGGCCATTTTTATGATATAGTATTTATGAGAGGAAAGAATTACATTGCAAAACCACGATAGTACATTTACATTTGAAGAGAGAAACACAGAATAATTATTTTGAAATTTCAACTTTGAAATTTCAACATCTTCTAAAATAAAGTGAAGATCTCCTTATGTGGTGAACAATTTCTTAGGATTTGCATATCTAATCTACAGAGCATACTTCTGATATGAAAAACAGTACAAAAACAAGTAATAATTACATCACATATTTATTTATTAAGAACAGCTATTTGATATATTTATTAATTTAGGTAGCTGTAGTGTGGTGCCTGTAACATCTCTCTCATGTTCTGAATGGTGAGACTTCAAAATACAGTGTGACGTTAAAAAAGAAAGGCTAAAACTTTTGTAACATTCATATTTGAAAATTTGGGTCAAAAGTTAAAAGATACAATTTACTAGAAAGTCTAAGATGTCACATAGATATTAATAATTATTATGTAAGACAACCACACTGTCACTTGAGATGTCTGGCAGTCCTTAGGGCAAATTCTTTCAAATCCAAATTCTCAAATAATAATTAAAAAAACAAACAAACAAACAAAAAACCAAAGAAACAAACAAAAAAAAACCCCCAAAAACAAAACCACCCCTCATTTAATTTAGGATTATAACTAACATTTTGACAATAGCAAGAAAACATTATTTTTTCTTCTTACTGATGTTGACATATTTGTACTGATACACAACTGATATTGTGAGATCACCATTCTTGAGTTTATGATAAGAAATCCGCGTTTCATAAATCTAGCATTATTCTTGAATAATTCTTGAATAAAGTAGAGATTAGTACTACATGAGAAATTAAAGAGAGCAGAAGATAAAGTAATCTTTTATGTCTGGTGCATAAATCAATAACTCAGGAAAGACATGATCTGTCACAGTACAAATTTTCTCTAGGCAAAAATTACAGCCCTGTAATTTTCTTTTCCTCAAAGGTACAGTCAGTTGTGACAGACTCCTGAAGTTGCTGATTAAACAGTAACAATGTCACTATAGAAATACAGTTTCTTAATAACTATTCTGAAAAATAAAGCCTGAAATACTTAGCACCTTCAAACTCCTTATGCAAATCTGAAGTAGCTGCTAAGTGAACTTGTAAAGAAAGTCAGTATAAAATGCTATAATACATGAAGAAAGAAGTCAAATGTGGCAAAAGGGTTCATGAGGTTTAGCTGAGACCCAGTGAAAAAAAAGAGCAAAGACAACAGTAATATCAAATTTATAAAATAAAATACAAGTGCTCCCAGGAGACAGGATGAAAAGTCCTTCACCATCAATGTCATATTGCTCCAGTTGAAGAACTCGAGGCATTGATGACTCCTGTAGCCCTTCCCTTTTCTTTCCCAAGAATGCTAATGTCATTAAGCTGAAAACACAGAAGCGCAGTGGCAGGCTTAGCAGAACATCAGAAAAAATGCTGGAGAGTGTATGTGCTACAATTTTAGTTGTCTTATGAAGACTTTTTCTGTAGTAGTATTTTTTAAATTATTTTCTGTAATAATTAGGCCTAAAATTATTGTTTCATTAGACAGTTAAAAATTGAATTACAGTAGAATTTTATTCTTGGCTGTGCATAGTAGGTGTAAATTCTTTTGCCCATAATAACATTTTGAAACAAGCTTCAAGAAAACCAGCAATTACTTCTCTGATAACTTAGGCATACCAGCAGATCAATTAAGGCTTCTGAAATGCAGGCTGAAAACAGGTAGTGATATGTGTTGCTGCAATGTCAAGTTCAACAAGGAAGTCTCTGTTGGCTAACATATGGTAATGATGCCAAAACCCTCTAGAAAACTAGTATCTCAATGCATGGAAAACAACATCGTAAGCCAAGAGAAGCAGGTGCTTTGTCCAGAACTTGATGACTTACTACTCCATCCCTAAGTCTCAAAGAGAACAAAACCATAACAAGCTGCTCAGAGAGAACATTACGGACTTACCTAACTACAGCAAACATCCCATAATTATTCTCCAGAGCACTTATTAGAACTAATAAGCTGCTCCTCAATTATAAAATATAAATTAAGGGAGGGAGTGAGGAAGGAAAGAACAAAACCCAATCAGAAACATGATTACACACCAGACCGCGGACATGGGTCAGTCTGATATTTGTACCTGAAAAATATGACTTGTCAATGAAGTACAACTTGAGTATTACTGCCACTTAAAATAAGATTAGCATACATGTATGACACAACTGCAGCTGCTACAATCTGTGTGAAAAAGTTAAGTACAAATCAGAACAATTTAGGTTGGAAGAGATGTAGCACAATCACCATGCAAAGCAGGGCCAATTTGATTAGTTTGCTCAGGCCTTTGTCCAGTCCAGTTGTATTTCAAAGGATTCAGATGACATGTTCTCAGGCCAACCAGTTCCAGTGTTTGACTACCCTCAGAGTAGTATTTTCTTAATATCTAATTGAAATTTCACTTGTTGCAACTTGTGCCCATTATCTCTCACCTTATTGCTATGTGCCCCTGAGAGAGTCTGGCTCTGTCTTTTCTATACACTCATTAGGCACTTGAAGCAAACCTAGTTCCCTTAGCCTCTCTTTGTACGTTATATGCTCCATCTTCTAATCATCTTGGTGACTCTCCATTGAACTGGACTTACTTCTACGTGTCAAAATTATTCCAGCATTAGTGAGCCCTTAAGTGTATTCCAGGTGTGATCTCAGAAGATCCAGAGGGAAGAATTGCTTGCCTGGACCTGCTGATTCCACTCTTGTTTCCAGTCTTCCACTCAGCCCAGAAGGCTGCTGGCCTTCTTTACCACAAGGACACAGTGTTGATTCATGGTCAATTTGTACAAAAGGCCCCCCAGATCCTTTTCTGCAGAGCTTTGCCCTATCTAGTCAGTCCCTAGCCTTTATTGTTGCGTGAGGTTATTCCATCAAATATGCAGGATTTTGCATTTGCCTTTGTCAAAGGCTCCTGTCAGCCTGATTCTCCATCCTCAGAAGATCCCTTTGAGCAGCAATGCTACCTTCCAGAGTACTGACATTTCCCCCCAAACTGATATGGTCCACCAACTTGCTCTGTCCCATCAGACAGGTCATCAATAAAGAGAATACTGCCCACATTATTAATCACAATGAATACTAGCCAAAAGTCTGAGCTCAGAAATCAATCCAATTTTCCACACATGTTATCATCCATTTATCCAGTCCATATCTCATCAAATTGGGCTCTCAGGATATTGGAGGAGAGTGTGTCAAAGGTTTTTCTGAAGTCAGGGCATTCAATATCTACTACTCTCCCCTTGCCCACATAGCCTTTCATGTGCTCATAGACAGTGATATGTGGGTTAGCCATAATTCATAGAATCATAGAATGGTTTGGGTTGGAAGGGACCTTAAACATCATCTAGTTCCAACCCCCCTGCCATCAGCAGGGACACCTTCCACTAGACCAGGTTGCTCAAAGCCTCAACCAGCCTGGCCTTAAACACTTCCAGGGAGGGGTCATCCACAACTTCCTTGGGCAACCTGTTCCAGTGTCTGACCACCCTCACAGTGAAAAATTTCTTCCTAATATCTAATCTAAACTTACTCTCTTTCAGCTTAAAGCATTTCCCCTTGTTCTATCATTAACTGCCCTTATGAAAAGTCCCTTCCTAGGTTTCTTGTAGCCCCCCTTTAGGTACTGGAAGGTCGCTATAAGATCTCCCCGGAGCCTTCTCTTTTCCAGGGTGAACAGCCCCAATGGTAATTCCCCATGGTAAATCCAAGCATGTCTTTACAGAATATTTTCATATTCATTTAGTATCAAATATTTATATTTCTTGAGCCATGTAGAGGCAGTCATGAAAGCTCCTATTGATTATGAATTTTACAACTTGTATTTTCTTGTTTACTGTGTTAAGACCTCAGATAGATGTCTGAGACAAGTAGACAGCTCTGCCATGGCCTATCCTACAAAGGTCTAGCCAAAATATTTTTTCATTCTCATTCTCTTTCAGTTTCCTAGATTCTAGCACATCATTTCATCTTACAGGATCTTAAATGCACATATGCCAACATGCCCTACTATGTAAAGAAAAAACAAAAATAAATTATATTCTGGAAAAAAAACATGTATATATGCTGTTAAGTTTTGTCACTGCATCATTATTTTTGAAATATGTAAACTCTTGTCTGATTTTTTTCTTTAGAACCATGTATTTAGTGTTATCATGTATCAGCTAAATTAAATCATACTAGAAGCTTTATCTTAAATTAGTACCCTTATATTTCGTATGTATAGATAATGCACATTGTCATACTCTTAGGCAAAACCAAAATATTACTAAGTAGAAAACTATAAGAAATTAAAACAGATTAAAATTTACACTCTCATGTGTTGAACTTTTTTAATAGAAAAGAAAAAAATATTTTATTTACCTTTGTACTCTAGGTGGAATCCAGTAAAACTAACAGACCCATCACTCCGAAAAGCCAGATGCATGGTATTTGAACTGCTTTCTATCCTCTCTGGCAGCTTGCTATCTTGAAAGCTCCCAATCAGTGGGCTATTACCATCTGGCCCATCATAGATATAAAGAAAATCATAATTTGGTTCTATACTGAAACTGTAGGACAAAAACAACAACAACAAAAAAAATAAATATTTATAAGATATAAGAGAAATATTATCGGAATATGTTTCGCCTAACATTTTCACTGTTATTAGCTTTAATAAAAGTTTACTATCACTGTTTTCATACAAGGAAAAAAAAACCTCTCCACTGTCAGAATAATGGTTTGTAGAAGTATTTTATTAGAAAGCAACAGAAATACTATATTAATCAGTTCTCTGCTTAGAAACAGTATTTTGCTGCTAGCCAGAAAAATAAAAGTAAACTTTTTAAATAGAAAAAAAAAATAATAACAATATTTCTAAAGCTTTAGATAAATAAACAACTTAGATCTACTGGAACCCTTGGCAGAAATGCTTTATGGTATAAAGCAGTCAGCTGCACAGTAGAGTACACACAGCTTCCAGTCAGGCTGAAGATTTTCAAACAGCCAGGAAATGATCTAGTAACTGTTAAGAGCAAGAATCATTTTGCCTATAATAATTTTAAATGAAAAGGTGTAGTGTTGAAACCTCATCTTTTATTTTGAATTTAATTCTAGTTAATTTTTAAAATTTATTTTTTTTTATGATTATATAACTACAGTAGTTCTTTATTTAAAAAAATATTTCCTTACAAAAGAAATGCAAAAGTCATAGAATCATAGAATGGTTTGGGTTGGAAGCGACCTTAAAGATCATCTAGTTCCAACCTCCGTGCCATCAGCAGGGACACCTTCCACTAGAACAGGTTGCTCAAAGCCTCAACCAGCCTGGCCTTAAACACTTCCAGGGAGGGGGCATCTACAACTTCTCTGGGCAACCTGTTCCAGTCTCTGACCACCCACACAGCCAAGAATAACCTGGCCCTGAACACTTTCAGGGAGGGAGCATCCACAACTTCTCTGGGCAACCTGTTCCAGTGTCTGACCACCCTCACAGTGAAGAATTTGTTCCTAATATCTAATCTAAATCTACCCTCTTCCAGTTTTAAGCCATTACCCCTTTTTCCATCACTACCTGTCCTTGTAAAAAGTCCCTCCCCAGCTTTCTTGTAGGCCCCTTTAGGTACTGGAAGGCCGCTGTAAGGTCTCCCTGGAGCCTTCTTTTCTCCAGGCTGAACAGCCCCAACTGTTTCAGTCTGTCCTCATAGAAGTGCTCCAGCCCTCTGATTATCCTCATGGCCCTCCTCTGGACTCGCACTAGTAGGTCCATGTCCTTCTTATGTTGGGGGCCCCAGAACTGGACAGAGTACTCCAGGTGGAGTCTCAAAAGAGTGGATTAGAGGGGTAGAATCACCTCCCTTGACCTGCTGGCCACGCTGGTCAAATGTCAACAGCTTCGATCTTTAAAGTGCCATAGTTTGTCTTGAGTTTAAAAGGGTTAGCTGAAGTAAGTCCCACTCAAAAGCATATTTAACAGTACTCATTGGAGTATCCAGAGTTTGGTTTATCCAGGAAAGGTCTTTTCTTACTTTAGAACAGTCTGTGTGTCATAAGTGAAACAAGTCTTGGTTAAGTATGTAATCTACTTTGAACAAGACTAAGTTTGTCAGCTTCTGTCAAGAATCATAGAAATTTTCCACATTTTAAGAACAACTTTGCACTATTTGGGATCTATAATCTGTTCATATACTATACTGAGTCACACTGTAAGATAGTTGTTCTATTCTAAGATGGAGGATCTCTTGTATCTATATAATCAATATAAAGAGCTGAATATTTGTAAATATTTGGAACTCACATTTCACCAAACCAAAAAAAAAAAAAAAAAAAAAAAAAAAAAAAGAAGTGTTACTGCACAGTAGAAAGATGCTTAGCAATTAAAGCATTCTGAAATCACCAACAAAAGAGTTAAATTGTTAGTTATGTAAATAGAATCAAGTGATTAATTTGCTTGGAAAGAATTCTTCAAAACACATACTATATCACTGAACATGGAGAACAGACAACTATATGACCTACATCACTAAAAAAGTCATCACATTATCACTGATGAGAACACTAAGACTACTATTATAAACATTCAGCATAAGAAGGATTTAAATTTGATGGGAGATTACATGTACAATTTTTAACTTTTTTGTGACACCACCATATGCCCTAGTTGGGATGCATATTTTTCACATATAATACGCATATATAACTCCATGGGTTACATACAGTGCAGACAGCAAAAGTTCCTCTGTGGATTCTATTAAGATCAATTTAATCTTGCACTGTGATAAAGGAAAATGTTAGAACAATTCCATTAAATAACAGGAAAAACAGGCCATATCCTGTTATGATACGGCCTAAAGACTACTTTTGAAATTTTACTTAAATAGCCGGTGAGTGTCTCATATAAAATATGATGTATCAATAGGCTTCAACATTAAAGACTATCCTGGGTTGGGGACAGTTCAGTGAGTTACTCCATGCTGCCTTCTCAGGAAGACGATCTTGGTAAATTGAGCACCATCCACCTCCATGTTAGTTGGTGTAAACTGAGATTGCTTTTAATTGAACAGGAGTGATGGGCTCCCAAGCTCCAACTCTATATGTATTGAACACTAATGTATTTGTTATGACTATTAACAAAGACAAGAATTACTAATCACTTTGACGGTTATATTAAGTATACATATGTTACCTTACAAAGCTCTGAACAACTGCCAATAATAAAGTTACAAAAACTACTTTAAAAATCATGAGCAAGTAGTTTACCTGATAAATGCTAATGATATAACATAATCATTATTAACAGTGATAGTCCAGTCACAGTCTCTGCTGTGGGGATAAGGATGAGGGAAGTTTGGTGAAAGAATAAAGCCTGATGAGCCAGTCAAGTTTCCTCCACAGGGAGCTGTGAATAAAAATAATTGGAATTGAGGAAAGAAGGTAAGAGCAAGAAAGAAAGTAGCAAGTACCAGCAATCTGTTCACTGACATTTAATGTCCTCCAAAAGTTAAACAAGAAACAACTGAAGTATTTACAAATCTTTAATAGAAACAAAAAATGCATTCACACTTCTTCTGAGACAAATACTAATACTACTGAAGCACTTGTTTTTGAATTCTGTGTCCTTTTATTTGCTTGCATAACATTATGTCAAGGCTTTCTTGAAAATATTGTGAACTTGAAAAATGCACTTGCTGCAGATGGAAAAAACTTCCAAGCATGTGGAGCACAGAACAAACACATTTCTCTGTGTCATTTTGAGGTCCCTAAATGTTGTATGTTTGTGGCCCAGAAATGTAAATGTATAATAAAAATGTGGCCTCACCTGTGCCGAGTACAGGGGCACTATCACTTCCCTAGTCCTGCTGGCCACGTTATTTCTGATACAAGCCAGGATGGTATTGGCCTTCTTGGCCACCTGAGCACACTGTCAGCTCATAGTCAGCCTCCTATTGTCCAACATCCCCAGGTCCTTTTCCAACAGGCAGCTTTCCAGCCATCTTTCCCAAGCCTGTAGTGTTGCATGAGGTTGTTGTGACCCAAGTGTGGGACTCGGCACTTGGTCTTGTTCAACCTCATACAATTGGCCTCAGCCTATTGATTCAGCCTGTCCAGATCCCTCTGCAGAGCCTTCCTACCCTCAAGCAGATCAATGCTCCTGCCCAACTTGGTGTCATCTGCAAACTTACGGAGGGTGCACTCGATGCTGTCGTCCAGATCATTGATAAAGATATTAAACAGAACTGGCCCCACTACTGAGCCCTGGAGAACATTACTTGTGACCGGCCGCCAACTGGATTTACCTCAATTTACCATAAATCTTTGGGCTTGGTCATCCACAAAGATTTTTACCCAGCAAAGAGTATGCACATCCAAGCCACAAGCAGCCAGTTTCTGTAGGAGAATGCTGTGGGAAACTGTGTCAAAGACTACTAAAGTTCAGGTAGACAACATCCACAGCCTTTCCTTCACCCACTAAGTGGGTCACCTTGTCATAGATGGATCTGCCTTTCATAAATCCATACTGACTGGGCCTAATCACCTGGTTGTCCTGTGTGTGCTGTGTGATGGCACTCCATATGATCTGTACAGATCAACGTGATATGTACCAATACAAATCAACTGATTAGGAAATATACACACTGTTTTCTAATGTTACAATAAATAAATCACAAGTCATTTAAGAATTCAGGTAGTGCAAGTAGGAAACTTAAGTAGATTATTGTATCCACAGTAACAATACATATGAGTATAGTCTCTCTACATTTTACATATTTTTCTTATATCAAAAGGGAGCAATGGATAGTTAAATTACCTCAAAGCCAAAAATAAAATTAGAATTTTCTATTATACTTTGGTACTGTAAGTGATAATGAATTTCAAAACCACCATTTTGTGTAAAATGCAGTTAGAGGCTGAAACACCACTTTGTTCTAGGGAAACATAAATATTACAAATCAATAGTACTAGCAAATGCATAGAATAATTTTTCCAGATATAATTTTTTATTTTTTTTTTTTGCTTCTCTTATCAATCACCAAATACAAGTTTTATCATGACAGTATTTTCTCAGAGGTTTTCAGTTGCTAGAGAAAGTTGCATTAGCTACAAGGGAACAGGCTGGAGAATTTTTATTTAGTATAAAACATTTACTTAGTTTTACAATAAGGATAATAATAATAATGCAATTTCTCTGTCTTCACGAGATTAAAATTGGTATTGTTTATAATCAGAAGCATCTTTTATTTAATATTCTTTTGTTACAAATCTGAAACAAAATAAGATGAAATTATTACAAAACAATATGCTTCCTTTAAGTGTAAAAGAGGTCACTGTAACTTTCTATCTTGCTGAACTAAAAAAGAGTGCAAAAGAGTCTTGAACCGTGATGATGTATGGAACGTAAAGGCTGCTCATCACCTGGAACTAGTACCCTTCAGTGTAACCCTGTACATTCATGCTTTTGAAGTACCTCAATGGTTAAGGCTGCACTATTTGCAGAATGAAAATGCAGAGTACCAAATAAGACATTAAGGTTATTCACTGTAACCAAACTTCACTGAAATAGCCCCTAAACTGTTATCAGTCTGATGATATTTTCTGAGGCGCCCTGAACTTATATATGATGATACAAAGATGTTAAGTCCTTGTTCCAGACTATTTCTGCCAATGTCTGCATTCCTGATATGGTCTTGATTTAGTTTAGTTCTCTGTTAAGTTCACTGACAGAACATTTGCATATTAGTAGCTTCTTTCTTATTTACTTACTTTTTTATTTACATACATTAGCAGTTACTTTTTCTGTTTACAGTGTGACTGGTTCTTTCCTTTAATCCTTTCAAAGGTCTACTCCATAATCAAAAAGACTCTTCAGGGAATAAGTGGAAAGTACACAAAGTTGGATAGCCAAAAAGTATTTTCTGTCAAGCTATACATTTAACAGTAGTAAAAAAGCCTATTAATCTTCAACTTTGTAAAATATCTTCCAAGCAGAATTTTCTTCAGATACAACAGTTTTAGATTATTTTTTAATTCATTAGATAGTAAACTGTGAAAGTCAACTTTACCTAATGAAAGATGTTATTAGATCATGTTGCCTTTTCCAATTTACTATCTTCTCTAAAGTTGTTTAAAGACTTTCTTTTTCCATGTTCTTCAATTAAATTCTTGTGTGTTTCAGATTTTCTGAATTTAATGTGTGCAATGTTAAGTGTCATAACTTTGTTTTAAACTAAGGGCAGACCAGCTCTGAAAATACAGTTTAAAGGACACCTATCTTTTGTAGTATTAGACACAATACCTAAGATTGAACAAATGTAATAGCCCACCTAGAAAGAAAGGTAAATGTCAATACACTATGAAAAACGTATTTTTAATGTATTACATAATAACTAGATGCAGGTTATGTCAACCTGTCTTTATAAATGCCTATGTAGACACAGTGGTAAGCAAGCACTATGCCAGACAGTCTGTCTGTATGATGATCTTAGCATTCATTGTTTCTATGTGAGTAAGTATAGATTGTTTGGTTTTGGGGGTTTTTTTGTGGGGGAGTTTTTGTTTGGTTTTGGTTTGTTTGGTTGTTTGGGTTTTTTTTTAATCTAAAAGCAATTTAATTATTCTAGAAGGCAACAAAGCACTATTCCAGAACTGTATGGGTTCATTTATTTATTTATTCACTGAATTATATTTTAACAAAAGAAACAGAATGAATGGTTTCTTTTTTCGTTTTACTTTTTTTTTTTTTTTTTTTTTTTTTTTTAATAGGAGATATTACATAGAGAATCAGAGAGTCATAAAATCATGAATTACTTGGGTTGGAAGGGACCTTTAAAGGTCATCGAGTACAACTCCCCTGCAGTGAGCAGGGATATCGTCAACTAGATCAGGTTGCTCAGAGCCCTGTTCAGCCTGACCTTGATTGTTTCTAGGCACTGGACATCTAAAACATCTCTGGACAACCTGTTGCAATGCTTCACCACACTCATCATAAAAAATGTCTTCCTTCTATCTAGTCTGAATATATATTTAAATAAGTGTAATTAAATATGAAATAAGTGTTGAAATTTTCCTTTGCATTAGTGTCATATAGATCTCATTTTGAGGAAAGCATCATTGGAATTCACTGTTTCCAAAAACCTTTTCCATAGATATAAAAATGGAAATCAAGACCTTGCTTAAAACAAAACAATAGAAACAAACAAAACCCAGGCCCTTTTTTTTTTTTAAAGACCTAAAATTTCTGAAAAAAGTCTGAAACTTCTGCAAGACAGTCCTTACTTCAAATAAATGCATAGTAAAACTGAATCTTAAAATGACATTTTGTATGTCAGTAATTTAATGTTACCCCTGAGCAAACTAAGCGAATACAATCACTTAAGATTTTGTTATCTAAACAAGATTGGATCTGGGAATTCTTTGGAATGGAAAACACCTCAATATTTTGAGCACTATAGGCATAAGGCAAAGGACGGTCTTCTGGTAGAGACATATTCTCACATTTATACTTTGTCAGAATACCTTCAGTGTAGAAGAATCTTTAATTTTCATCATTCATTCAACTAGTTGAATCAATATTTAGCTCTTTGTAATTTTCCCATTGTTATTACCTTTAAAATGAAGATATTCTTAAAAGTGTGTTACAAGCAAGACTGAAGGAATCTAAACAGCCAAGCCAGTCCCACGGGTAAGAACAATTAACAAGTACATTTACCTAGTTTTGAGCATTAATAATTAGGAAGTTCAAGAAGATACTTTGAAGTGTAAAGAACTAACAAAATAAATCTAGAACATGCCACAACAATACACCTTAGGAATTATCCCTGACTCTCATTTTCCATCAAAATTATGTTTATTTTTTCTAAGACTTTGATAAACCATGATGATGTTGAAGTTATGTGAAGAGTAAGCCTTGTACAGTTTTGGTTTACAGGCTTGGAAACAATGTAAGTGAACATATTACAAGTTTGGAAAAAATTTTATGAACTTCAGAGTGAACTGAACGACAACAGTTTTGAAATCCTTGGGCTCCAAGCCAAGGTTTGCACACTCTACTTCAGTCTATTAGCAGCTCATATTCCCAAAAAAATGTTTCATTATAGGAAATCAATATAAAACAACTTCATGCCTGATATTTGGCCAATAAATCATCATAATAAGCATTTTTGCTACTCTATGTACAGCAAGTGTTTGTGCATAAAGTATGGAAATTACAAGTATTAGGTAAATGGATACATGTAGTTAAGAAAACAAGCGCATGTATATTTACACACATACTAAGGACATTTAATCTATGTAATAATATCATCAACTCAATATCATCAGGTTTTAGAAGTGATAGTTTAGATATTTTCTAGATCAATAATAATAGTGATTAGGATTGCCTCTGAAAAGATTACTGGAAGGCTACTATCTACTTGAGATTTTGTAATTTCTTAGTACTTTCCATCATGATTCAGTTAACCGAGTTAAATGTTTTCAAAACCAATTTAATATGAGCTATGTTAATCAGAAGAGCATGAGAGACTGAGACAATATTTCCAGAAAAAAAATGTATGTTATATTTTTTACTAATGATAATTTTGTTCTTTCTAAAATAATGAAGACTGCCAGAGAAATTAGGCTACCATCTTCTCATTCTTTCCTGTTGCATCCTGCTTTAGCCCCTGCATAATTTTATCTGATCTATAAATTTACTAGGTCATCTCTGTGATATTTTGTAAATAGAGGCATATGAACTTTAACCAAATCCTCCACAGTTATCACCATTGTTAAATTTTAAGGCAAAACTAATAGTGCCATTGACACTGACTTTCTTGATTTCTCTATCAAAAATCATAAAATCATAAATGATATGGCCTTGAGAGGGAAAGGATAAGAACTATTATACTAACAACTATAGAGGAAAGATTTTGGTAATATCCATTGGAACTTTATACTGCATAATTTATCAGACGTGCAGTACCTGTATGCATTTGTTCTTCAGAGAAGGTTCCTAGAGCAGTGTGATTCATTACACCAGAATTTCATAATTTAGGAAAGCATTATTTGATTTTTTTTTTTTTTCTGCATACCTATACAGACTGGTGGGTTGGGCTGCCAGAAGTACCGATTTTCTACTTGAATGCAGGTTATTCTCTCATCGCCTTGCAGTTCATAGCCAGGGTCACACTGAAAAATGACAGTGTCTCCAGGTTCTCTTCCATCTCCATTTCTTGTTCCATTCATGGGGACGCCAGGGTCACGGCAGGCAGTAGCTACAGAACCTAGCAGAGAAGGTAAAAAACAATTTATTTTTTTTTTTAAAGTTAGCTTTTCAATCAATTTTTGCCCCATTACATTTTTCTAATCAGGAAGCTCTGCAAATACAAAATTTTCCTACTAGGTTCTAAAATTTTGATAAATCATCGAACAATCTGCTGCTTTTATAGGATTATTTTTTGCCACCTGCTTTAATTATTCAAAGAGTCTAATTTTTTTTTTTTTCTTTTTTTTGACAAAAATCTGTGGAACATTGCAATATGCAATAAGGAAAGTAGGAGATATTCTAGTACCCTAGACACTCAGCACTTCTAACTTAGAGGAATTTTTAATACAAATAATGGAAAGAATGGATTAAGAGCCTCAGGCTGTCCAATAAGCTATGTTTGTATACATCTTCAATGCTCCACAATTCTATAGTTCTTAAACATATGTACGGTGTAACATTTAGTAGCAAATTTGGAAGTGAATTTCACTGATCACTCATACCTATACCCTTGCACATGACATATCTACCATGCTAGGCTTTTGTAATAATACTAAAGAAATCACCTACACAAAAAAATACACATGGATTTAGTCTGAAAGAATATACAGCTACGTATAATGCATAAATACAGATATTAAATACTAAGATATAAATATATAGATATAAATAGTAAAGATATAGCTATAAATGCAAGAGAAAAAGATACTGGAGCTAGATCACACAGGAGTGAAACTTCATCAAATATGAAAAGGTTCATAATGTTAACACAGGTCAGAAGTAAAAAAGAAATTCTTAAGATAAACTTAGACTGAAGCAACTAGTAAAATCAGTCATATATTAATCTGCATTCCTCCCTGTTGAGAACAGAGAACCTATTGTATCTTTTGATTAGTGTTGGCCAGTCAGAGCAGATCATGTAGGAGAGACACTGTGTTCTGTCCATCTAAATACTATTTGCCTCAAATCTTGCCCTGGCCATAAACAATGGCCTTATGTAAAACATGCTGAAATCGATTCTAGAAGAATGGGGGCTGATACTTACACAAAATTTGTAATCAGTCTTGAAGTGCCCAAGAGATAAAATGGTTGCTATAAAATTTGCTATTAGCTGTATATCACAGTGTTCTTACTAGATTGTATAATTCTGGAAAATAATTGTATATGGCTGAAAAATAAGATAAAGGGCTACCCAGGTCTACCTGGAATTCCTGATACAATTTAGTAATAATGATGGAAATTAACTTATAATATAGGATATATATGCCAAACTGATAAGCTTTTCCTTATTTGCCATATGTAATAGCCTTCTTGCATACTTGCATGTTTGTTCAACCTACTTCTTTCTCTTTTGGCTCTGAATCCCAAGAGGTGAAACATGGAATGTATAAGGGGAATATGAAATGGATAGAAAACAGGATGGTCTGCCAGGCTCAAAGAGTGCCCACAATCCAAAACCCAGGCAGGAGCTGGTTATCAGCAATGTCCCTCCAGGGTGGATGTTGACTTCAATATTGTGCAACACCTTCATTAAAGATGGGGACAATGGGACCAAGGAAACTTGGCAAGTTTACAAACACTAGAGGATCAGTTGATAGGCTCTAGTGCAATGATGCTATTTAGGGAGATCTCAGTAGGCTGGAGAAAAGGCCTGAAAGAAACTTCATTAAGTTCGAGAAAGGAAATGCAAAACCTTAAATCTGGGACAAATCAATCCCAAGAAAAAAAAAGTGCTGGAAAGTGGCTTTGCAGAAAAGGAATAGAGAAGATAAAAAATTATTCTTGGAAGTGTGCAGCAAGAGCACAAAGCATTCAGAAGTTGCAACAAGTAAAATTCCAACTGCACAAAAGAAAAAACTGGTTCACTACAAGGGTGGTCAAACACCAGAAAAAATTTTCCAGAAGGCTGTGTTATCTTCAACCTTGGAGATATTCAAAGCCCTAAGCAGACTGACCTGTTTGACTCTTCTGCAACCAGGGAGTTGGACTAGAGGTCTCCAGAGCTCCTTTCCAACCTAAACTATTCTATGACTATTTTTCAACTTTGCAAGTTTGTGTTAAAAATACACAGTCTTCATTTAAAAATAAAGCATTGCTTTAAGACTGAATTTTGCATTACAGCACTAGAATACAAAAGACAGGTTCTCTGCTCCCACAGTGAAAGCAGATAACTCGCTACTAAGTCTGGATTTTAGGATTTAAGTACTCAGTCTCTAGAAGTCCAATTCTCATTTTTCAGAGTTTGTTCAGCAATTTGCAAAGAGAGTTTGTTCAGCAATTTTCAATTAAGAGTATCAATTCTAATTGAAGGATTTATGAAACAATGTGACAGACACGGTGAGCTACTCTTTTAGAACCAACCATGAATATCATACAGAAATTCTGAACAGGCTGATAAAAAAATAAATTAATGTATTCTCAATTAATAAAATGTAAGAAAGGGAAAGAACCCAGCATGCCATTAAAAACACTAGGATTCATGAAATTATATATTTATTTTTACTTTCTCATAAATAAATAACCATTTTGGTTTGATTTGTCTAAAATCTGTGGGAAATTTTTCTTCTATGTTCTCTGTTAAACTGCTACTTTAATGAGGCTTCTTAAGAGAGGAAAACCTCTATAATACTGTTACTACATGATATTTATTTATTCAGACAGTTGTGTGACATTAGCTTCAATTCCATCATTAGGATAATGAGAGTGATAATGATGACAAAGTTACTAACTTAGAATAGTTAGCATAATTTGTCCCATGGTCTTTGGGAATGTGATTGGGTAAATATAGGTAAAAAACTTGGATAAATATGCATAATTGACAAGTCAAATATAGGTAAGTTTTTGACCTATTTCTTGCTCTAAATTCTTAATTTATGTCTATATTAAAATCTCCAATATATTGTTGCTGTTGTTGAGAGCAAGCACTCTAATTTGTTTTGTATATCTCACCTCCATTTCAAAATATACACATACCTCTACAGACCATTTCAACAAATGTAACTAACAGATTTAGATCCAAAATTTCCACTATAATTTTAATTTGATTGTCATTTCAAATGGTGGTAGAGGCTTATATATAAATAAAGTGTGGTAGAGGTTTATTTGTTTGTTTGTTTATTTATTTTCCTTTGCTGTTCCCGTATTTTGTTGTGAAAACAACTGAGCATTACAGAATTCTTAAAAAAGACCATTTCCATTTTATTTTTTTTCCTTCTAATTCATTTTAAAAAGAATACACTAGAAGAAGGTATCCAAACACAGTTCCTCACTTATAGTGAGATTAAAGCATTGTAAATTATTCTTTTATACTCTTTCTGAAAACCACATATATGTCTTTGTAAGCATGTATCTAAATTCAACTTGCTTAATTAGGAGTGGGACTCATTTAACTCACTTCTGGCCATGTGAATGTTAGGTGTCTTACCGATAGGCTTGTTTCCCAGATTCCCTCTACAGTTAATATCAAAAGGGAGAAACAACTACCTCTGTTTTAGACGTTTAACATTCTCATGTGACAAAATGGAAGGAAACATTTTCCTGATACATCAAATTTTTTTCCACTGAGATAAAAATCCTGTATGAATAATTTATATTAGACATGTAACCTCTAGCTTAAGAATAAATTTGTTATAATAAATTTTATTTTGCCTTACTTGACATCATATATTTGCCTCAAAAGGGAGATGGATTTTTTTTTATTTTTTTTTTATAAATCAAATTGTCGCAGTAAGAATCCTCAAATAGAGAAATATTTTTTTTTTGAGGCAAGGTTAAAAAATAATGATGTAAGAAGGAAACATCTCAGTACTGTATATAATTATAGAACCAATGCATTTCTTGAGAGCTAATAACATGTTAACTGTATATTTAAATGGAATTTCTTAATCACAGCTTCTGTAATGTCTGCTCTACTCCTCAGTTTTTGTTTCACGTGCCTGACTCTAGCCCATCATTACTACTGTTAAAAACTGTGTTTCTTTGATTTCAGAGAGGATCTCCATAATAACTGTCTTGATAGGGTGTGCTCTGTACTGCATTCTCAATTCTGTTTGCCTCTTTATTCTGTTTATTTTTGAATATTCCTTTTCAATATCTACCTTCAGCCTATTTTTTTGTCTCTCTTTGAAGTATCTATACTGTTTTACTTATGAAGTGTATATTCTGAGTTTTTTTCCTATTATATATTCAGGGACCTCAATCACTACCTTCATCATTCCCCATGAAAATTTGTGGAGCAAACAAAAAGCTCAGGAATTATTAAGTCCCTTATAACTTTTCTATCATACCTGCAGTGCTGTCTTGAGAGCTTTCTGCAAAATAAATGGAGCAGTCTAACACAATTCCCCATAAATTCATGTATAGGCTCTAAAGTTCTTTGTGACATATTAAAATGGATAGATAAGGTAAGAAAAGAATACATCAACTTTAGAGTTAAGAAAATACTTACCTTATGGTCACATTGTCTGAAATAACTAGTGAGGTATGACTTGTAAATGTAATTGATTAAACTGCTATAAACTACATTATAAATGGGAAAAAGACAAACTCCAGAAAGTGTCTATTACCTAGTATGCACAGCATGGCAGGTAGAAGAATGACTGCATGTAGCATAAACAAGTGTGTGATCATCTGAGAACTTTTTTTTTTCCTAATGAAGACAGAAAAATTCAGAAACCTATTTTATTCTTTCTCTGGGCAGTGCTAGTTCGGAAAAATTACATTGCAATCAGTCAAATGGTTAGAGCTAGATTAAGAGCTCGGAGAGACAGTTTTTGACCAAGAATTCCAGCTTAAGGATGGGAATGAATGGGACTCAATGCTCAAACTGTTAAACAGGTGAGAGATTAGTGGATGGATTATCAGGGGTTAATGGTGGATGGGAAGCTCAACATGAGCTGCCAATGTGCGCTTGCAGCCCAGAAGGCCAACTGTATCGTGGGCTGCATCAAGAAAAGTGTGGCCAGCAGGTCAAGGGAGGTGTTTCTGTTCCTCTACTCTGCTTTCATGAGACTCCACCTG